TCACACACACCAAGATCACCCAGAAAGCTTTGAGTACCAGGATTCTAAACCTTATTATTCCAGGTCTCTTGAAACAGAATCTCCTGGTGTGGCATTTTGAAAAGCCCTCCAGTGAATCAGATGAAGCTAACACTCTGTCAGTTCAGAAACCAGTGTTTGTAAACCCCAAGTATGTGAATATAGTTCAGTTTTAGGAATATCATTTACAAGGTATACTGGGGCATTGTTGAAGAAAGGAGAAAAAGTTGGAGAAATAAAATGAGATGGGCTAGGAATGTGGATTAGGTGTATTCATAGTTAGATGAATAACTGAACTCATTGAGTGCTGATCTGTCAAACTGGTGATCATGCCTTAGCTGAATCTTAGATGAAACATTGTTGCTGTCATGGAGAAGTCATCCTGGAATGAAGTCTCCAGTGGCATGTCACAGCTCAGTCCTTGGTTCTGTCTTATTCAGTATGTTAATAAATACTTCTACAACAACAATAAAGGCTGTAGATCAAATGTGGGGCTAATTCAACTAAAAGAAATAGCTCATATAAAAGACAATAAAATTAGAATTAAAAAATCTTTATTCTAAGACAATTTAAAATAAGATGACGTTGGAGAGTAATAAATGTAAAAATACTAAATGTAGCTTAACTTACTGATTTAAATAAGGGGGGTGAGCAGTAAATCTGGCTGGGAGTTTTAAGTCTTTCCAAATGCAATGGTGGAAAAGCAAGTGATATGGTCATCTGGAAAAGCATATGCAAACTGAAACTGTATTAACATGAGTCTACATATGATCCTTGCCAGGGATCAGAGGAGAGGAGGGAGTGGGAAAGTGAGAAGTTTTAAAACAATAGCTTAAGTGAATAGGGCTCCCAGGGCTAATGCAGATGTTTTAGGTTCCCCCTTGTAGGGTGAAAGCCCAAGGAGAGCTTCTGAGAGGGGGAGAAAAGATGAGGTAGAGGTTGAGAGAACAATCACATTTACATTGATTTAGCTTTTCCAAAAGAGAGAGTGGTAATTGATTGGGGAGTAAGACCTGGCCTGTTGATTGTTGGCATTGGTTGTTAATACCCCAGGGATAAAACTCAAGTTTGTTTGTTTTTTCTCTAGCCCTAGAATATTGAGTATGATACAAAATAATTAAATAAGCAAAGACAAACAGAACAATGTGATAGGATACCTGGTTCTAATTTGAATTCTGGGTAAGACTGAGACCCTTTAAAACCAGTGTGAGTTTTATAGTATCATATGAACTATATGAACTTTCCTGAAGAAACCTTATTCAGGTGGCTAGTGAGGACCTTCAGGAAGTTCCCTAAATCCTTCTTTAGGAGTAAGCAGAGGGGAAGGTGGATAGATATTTCTCATCCAGGTATCTGAGTGATGAAGGAGGAGGGGAGAAACAAAAGGAATGGGTGAGGGAGGAACACAGTAGAGAGTAATCCCTTCCAGTCTAACAGCTCACTGAATAATACATTGTAAGTTCTCAAAGTGTAGTGGGGCTCGGAGTCATTGAGTTACTTGTTCAAGGTTCCAATGTCTGGACCCTACACTCAACCTACTAAATGAGAATCTTTAGTGGGTACTTGTGTGTACATTTTAATAAGCATCCAGAAGGAATTCTGATGCAGGAAATTTAAGAACCACATTTTGAGAAACTCTTTTAAGAAAGAAGGTCACCAGGTAATTGATAGCTCCCGGGGGAACTTCCATCAGGGTCCTGCAGTCTATGGCTGTCTCATTTTACCTAAGCCTTGTTTTTGCCCTCACAAGTATGGCATTCATCTAGCTGACTCTGTTGGGTTTCTATTTACACAGATGTCCTTCTGGTCCCCAGTGTTTGAGGGTTGCAGAATAAGCTCTGTGACAAGTATAATAAAAAGCAAAATCAAGAGCCTGAGGAGGTTCCTCCCACTGGGCTAAAAGTGGCACTCTGCACTTTCCCCCACTGAAAGGAAGACCAAACCTGTGGCATGATTCTGAAAGCAAATTCACCCTTGCCAATACACAGCCAGGCTTCACAGTGAGACAGTTTATTCCATGGAGGACTCTCTGCCTTGTAGATTCATTTCACCACACAGATACCAGATGAAGAGGTGCAATGGCCTCAGCACCCAATTTTCACTGGAATCATGTATAATGATACTATGTAGAGGTTTTGGCCAAATTTGCTTCCTCTCTGTCTCAACCTTTCATCTCGCTAAGTCTAAGTGCCCCACAGCCTGAGGCCTAGCGATAACCCCAGACTGCATCCCCACCCATTTCCACATAATTACATGTTTGGAGTTTCTCTTTAGCCCCAAACAAGGCAAGCAACACAGGGCCAGGACTAGGGTGCTAGGGAAAAAGAAGGACATAGCATGCGAAATGTAAGTGAGGACTCACTCTCAGGGTCCCATGGTGTGTGTCTTAGGCCTCTCACCCTCCTCACTCTAGGCCCTGCCCTGGTGAGCAAACCTCAGCACAGTAAGGGGTCACTAAGGAGGTGAAAAGGGAAGGCAGAGGAACAGGAGACTTGGAGAATTGATTGCTGTCCTTATGTGAAAGGGCTTCATGGGACAGACGGAGTAGATTTATTCAATGTTATTCCAAAAGACAAAATTTTGGCCCATAAGTGGGCCAATTTCAGCTTTTAAAATATGCAATTATTATATACAAGGGCTAATATTTATAGAGCACTTTACCAAGTGCTTTATACAATTATGTTATTCATCCTTGCAACTCCAAGGATCTATATCATCATTGCCATTATATAGATGAGAAAGCTGAGAATTAGATAGGTCAAGTCATCGGTCTAAGGTCACAGAGCTGCTAAGTGACAGGGCAGGGCTGAGAACCAAACCAGGGCTGTCTGCTTTGAAGCTCAGGCTCTTAACTACACGCAACACCAACTTACTTTCTATCAAATGTGTAAAAGCTCAATTGGGATATTATATTTAGGCAAAATCCCTATAACCATCAATAGATGTTATAACTAATAAGTGATATTATAAAAGAGACCTCATGAAAGAAGTTATCTGGTTTATTTGGAAGATGCTGATATTGACAGCATTTCCAATGCATGGGCCTGAGATTGAATTCTTTCTGTGGTTTGATTACAGATGCCCACCTGCTAACAGCATCTTCTTATTCCTGGGGCCACTGCAGAACCAGGCCTGGGCTAACACCAGCAAGGCTTCCAATGACAGGGAGTTAATGGCTTTTTTAACACCAATTGCTTATTGGCACTCAGGAACTTCCCTGATTTAAGAAAGTTAGGTTGGTGGTGTTAATTAACATCATCTTTAAATTTTTGTCTTTATTTATAAAGTTGACTTCTGATATACTCCAGTGCATTGACAATTAGAGAACATTTCTGGAAAAAAAAATCAACAAAACCCACACTATTTTATGCTTTTGTCTCTGAAAGCAAATTTACATTTTTAGCACTTCCAAGAAGCAGATGTTCAATTTTTCAGAGTTTCTAAACCAATATTTACTGAGCAACCATTGTAGAAACAGCTATGTAGTGATCCAAATGGATGACAAGGGAAAAAACCTCTTGACAGACACTAAAATAATGTCAAAATGCATACCAAACCAAATGGGAAGGGACAAATAACAGAATGGCCAATGACTTTAGAAAGCTATAATGACATGGTCTTTCTTTAGAAATTGCCATTTAATAACTTGCCAAAATATTTTCAGACATAAAGTAAAAATAGAAACCAGTACTTAGCTCTAAAACAGGCTATAATATGGACAAAAGTTTTATGCAATGGCAGAGAAAAATGAAACTACCCTTTTATCGTCAGTAATAAATGAGCATAAATGTATCTGGCACACTTTTATGGGAAGAAGCAGGGTTTTCAAGGTGAACTCTTCAAGACATCATTCCTTTCTTGCATTAAACAATGGCAGCCTCATTTAGAGCAAGCTAAATCTTCCCAACGCTTCATTATTGCTAAACAAGCTTAACTTGAAGATGTAAATATTTGGGGTTTGGTGGTAAACAGAGTCCTGTATTACCACTTCTATTCTAGGTCTGCCATCGACCTAGCGTTAGGCGAGCAAATCACTTCAACTTCTCACAGGGTTTTTATATGTGTCACAGGCGCTGTTTAGATCTATTCCTACAGAGAGAGTTATATACTGAAGATACCAATTAATTCTGGCAAAAAACCAAAGGGTTCAAGGTGCAAGAGGAGCACCAAGAATCATTAATGATTCGAAGTCCCTTGTGTGTACCAAAAGTCAGTGATAAAAAATTTAATATTTAATTCTGCGACCTTTAAGATCTCAGTAGCAGAACATTCAACAGCTGAGGATCAAGGTAAACCAGAACATTCTACAATATGTTTTACTAAAGATTTACATGCAAGTTAAAATGTATGGACTTAATATAAAAACATACAGCAGAAAACTTGGTATTTAGTGTTGGAGTCATCAGGGCTGGACCAGGGAGAGCTGAGCCAGGAGAAAAACTTAAGGAAGTGCCAGAAAACTCAGTAACCACCATAAATAATATTTTAATGCATTATTTTTAAAACTCAAAATTAAATACCAAAAAAATCCATGATGAACAAAATACCACATTTTAAAAAAAGATTTTTAAATAAAGAAGAGCTGTACACAACAATATAAGAGCTGGAGGCAAAAGAAAAAGAAGCAGTAATACTGATCCTATCTTTATTTAAAATTTTGATGTTTTGTTCGGCATGGATATTTTTTTTTTTTTGCATTAGTTTTGAGTCCTTTAAACATTGCCTAAAAATACTGTCCATCTTGATCACTGAGATTCTTGGAGCCCCCTTACATTTTGCCATCCAAGCGAGTGTCTTGCTCAGCTCATCCTAGCCACGGCCCTGGGGGTCAATACTAGTTCCTAGAAAGGCTGTAGGAACAAACCGGGCCACCTGGGGGACTGGAGTGCTGTGGGCCGGACTGTCCCCAGAGTAAGGGCTGGAGGTAGGTAGGTAGGTAGGTGGGTGAGAGTTGGTGCCCGCGGGCCAGAGCCCGAGCCTACCTCGCTTATTCTGCTTGCCGTGCTTCTTGGCCAGGGCGAGTTCCTTCTGGATTCGATTTTCCAGGTACTCCTGTTTCTTGCCCAGCATCTCCTCAGTCTCCCGAAGTCGGGCCAGGGCCTCCTGGGGACTGGGAGCGGCGCGGCTCTTGGAAGAGCCTCCCCCTTTAAAGAACTTGCCCAACTTGCTCATGGCTGTGGAGTGGACGCGCCAGCGGTCCCGGGGGCGTCTCAGGAGCTCCCCGGGGCCGCACCTGGGGGACAGGTGAGCGAGACGGTCCTCTCCGGGGCCCAGACCAAAAAAGGCGGTGCTCCTGGGAATCAACAAGTTGTCCCGCGCAGGTGACACTCACTCCTGGGCATTTCCTGGCCTTCGGCTCTGCCCCGCCCCTCGGCGCGGCTGAAGGGCGGGGAGGGCACCAGAGTCAGACGTCGGCCGGCGCCACCCGGCCCTCTGGGAGTTGAGGGAGAGCAAAGAAAAGTTGAAAAGACAGGGAAAGACTGCAGCAAAATTGCTGCTTTACCCACACTAGGGACATACCCAGGGATGAAGAACTAGTTTGTGAATGGCTCAGAGAAAAGCAAACCAATGTTCCAGGATGGAAAGCATGTGTGTTTAAGTGCGCTTTCCCTAGCTGGGTATGCATAATGCTTTATTCCATGCGTGTGTGTGTGTGTGTGTGTGTGTGTGTGTGTGTGTGTGTGTGTGTACATACATAGTGTTCCTGTATTCAGGTCTCTGCTTTTGTGAATAAGAATATTCAGATCTTCTCCTCTAGGTGTATGTCCTATAGGTACCATTCTGTGGTGGCAGAGGCTTCCAGGACAGTTGCCCCTGTGATGCAGGTGTGTGGGCAAGCTAGAAGCAGCTGTTCTGGATGGGCTTGTCTCTGCATTTGTATAGTCTTGGCAGGTTGATTTGTACCTGTCTGCCAGATGGTATGATTGGATTCTTGATCATCCTCACATGGCTTGAAGTGGGTGAAAGATGGTGGCCACCTCTTTTCCTAATGTTAGAACTTCTGAGTGCCTTTGGTGGTTGCATTCAGTTCCATAATATGGAATCTGAATCTTTCAGTGTGATTATCAGTGTATCAGAAACCTTAAATGGGGCTGCCCTTGTTTGGCTCTATGTCAAATGTCATGGCATAGATACCCTCAGTAACAAAAAGTAGTGAATATCCTAGAGGAAGAAACATTCTTTTGTTCATGTTTACTATCTCAGTCCCATCTGTCAGAGCTGCAACCAAAGAGTTCAGTAAGATGAAAGGACAGCAATATGTAATGATTACGGATAATGTGATGCAACTGAAAACCTGTGCTGAGCATGCTACAAAGAAGTAGAATATGGAATTGAGTCTATGTTCTAGTTTTCAAGGACTAAAGTGTACTCTGCATCATTCAACTCTATTTGAGCATCATTACTCAGCATCCTCAGAACCTATTTGTACCTATTTGTGACCATTAGCCTGCCACTGTTAAAGGAGAAAAAAATGTATCCATTACTATGACAAATTCACCGTGATATTCAAGATCAATAACCCAATTTTGTTTGCCATCATACAACACAAAGCATTAAGTTAACCCATTTTACCCACCATTGGTGCAGCCAGCATCAAATTTTGAGAAAGAAATGGAAAGCTTTCACGGTTTACCAGTATACATCTTACACACACAAACATGTTAACTTATCATTTCCCAGTAACTACAACCAGTTACCTCCTATCATTTCCAGGCAGGAAATGTTTTGTGTTTTAAATCCCATGGTCTTTTCAGCAGTGCATAGCCTTAAGCCATGGTCTTTTTAATATTTACACAACTTTGTTTCCATCTGCATGAGTTGGAGCAGAGGAGAAACTCATCAAGTGTTTGTTTAATTAAATAATATGGAGCGAGAAGTTGTTATTATGAGGCATTAACTCTAAGGGATCCTATAGCATTACTGAATTTATGGAAGGATGAGTGCATTTACATCGGAACATATCCAGTATACTAAAACATTCTTTTGTGGTTCATTAATTACTATTTCTGTTAGAACACTGGACAAGTAGAACAGAGGGACTAAAAATTACAATGAAGAGTTGCTTAACTATCACCCATCCACGGCTTCATTCAAAAGATATTTATTGAGCATCTTGGTGGCCCAGGTATTGTGCTAGTGTTGGGGATACAATTAAGAATAATATAGAAATACTTTCTGTCCTAACAGAGCTTACAGCTTAGGGGAAAAGACAGAATTTAAACAAATTATCTCATAAATAATGGGCTTCATAAATTAAAGTTCTAGTAAATTCTATGGAGTAGTACAGAAACTATGAGAACAAAAACAGAAGAACCTAATCTTATCTTGATATCAAAGAAGAGTGTCCTCAACAAGTGAACTTTAAATTAGAATTTGAATAATAAATAATTCCTACTTGATTATTATTAAGTTACCTGGTTTTCAAAAAGGGAAATCTGTATTCTGGAATACGGAATCCCTCATTCGTTTATCCATAGATTCATTTATTTATTCATCAGTTCTAGCTGTGGAGATTCAACAGGGACTAGAAAGACAAAAATTCATGCATTTTTGGAGCTTACTTTTTAGTTAAGGGAAGACAGACATTTTAGAAAGTAATTACTATATGTACTATATTTTTAAAAAGCAGAGAATGTTGGAGAATTAAAAATTTAAACAATATGTACAAAAATCCTGAGTCTGAAGTATTAATGCTTGAAAAAAACCAGTGTTGTTGGGGCTTAGAGATAGAAGAGGAGACTGGAAGAGTGTGCTGAGACTGTCTTTAACCATTAGTCAGAGTCCAGATCACATGGGGTCCACATGATGTGCTAAGGATCCTGTATTTTATACAAAGAGCAAATGAAAATGGATCAGACATTAACACAAAGAATCTAGTCATTAATTTATAATTCAATGGGAAACATAATCAATTTACCCAATTTAATGTGCAGCACTTTCAGAAACACAAGTGGTATGCAGAGCAAGATATATTTGAATTAAAAATCATTCCCTTCCATTAATACATAAACCCAATGGCTGAAAGATAATACTTGCAAGCAAGTAAACTATCCACATATATATTACTGTTTAATCCAGTAGTGGGACATAGAAAATAAATTTTTAAATCAATGATTTAGAAGCTGAAAATAACACATTAATCTTCATTCAATACTCATCCTACAAATGTGGCTTCATAAAGAGTTCTCAGCATCTGGTGTATTTTTCATTTTCTAATCTCAGTTGATCTCAGCTAATAAGAAGGCTGTTGTTCAAAAGAATGATCTTGTTCAGGATGATTTACCATGGTTAAGAGGGCATAGGAAATTGGAAATTTATAGATCTGTTAAAAAGACCTAGCTGTCAGGCTAATTGATACATTTTGGCCACCTCTTGAAATTACATCCATTTTTGGAATGCCAAATGAACTCTCTAAAGCAACAGAAGAAGAATTGCCCTTTAAACATACTACAGAATCATCATCAAATAGTTATTTATTAAGCAGCTCAACAAGCATTTACACATTCTTTTTATCAGTAGTTCTGTCTGTTTCTTAGGACCAAATATTCATAGTGTACATTATTCAATCACAGTAATGAATACAAAAGTAGTCATGATGAAAAAATAGTAATTTTGCAAAAATAAACGTTTGATTGCCCTAATTCATAATGAAGACAGATGGTGCCTGTGACTGGGGCTTGCCTGCATAGCACTTTATCTATGTCTCTTATACCTTTGTCCATTCTTTTGTTTTTTTTTGAGACAGAGTCTCACTCTGTTGCCCTGGCTAGAGTGCCGTCAGGTCAGCCTAGCTCACAGCAACCTTTAACTCCTGGGCTCAAGAGATCCTTCTGGCTCAGCCTCCTGAGTAGCTGGGACTATAGGCATGTGCTACCATGCTCTGCTAATTTTTTCTATTTTTGGTAGAGACAGGGTCTTGCTGTTGCTCAGGCTGGTCTTGAACTCCTGAACTCAATCTTTGTCCATTCTTGATCAGAAAGAAGTTAAAGCACCTAACATTTTGCACTTCACTGCAAAATGTTTTCTACACCAACCATTTAATGTATAAAAAATGAGATATAGTCCCCTACCTCAGTCACCCTTATTGTATTACCTATTCAAAGTTTTTAACACCTTCTTTTACCTCCAGAATTTCATTATACCTAAGTACAATCACATGAGATTTGTATCTAAATTTTACCTAATTGAGAAACACACACCAATCCTGCTCCTTTTCCTCTAAGTTAATGATGACCCTAGGCTTCCATTTGCTGAGGCCAAAAACCTTGGAGTCATCCTTGACCCACATCCAATCCAGCAGGAAACCCCATAAGTTCTATTATAGAAACCTGCCCACTTGCCACCACCAACAGCTAATACCATGCTTTGAACCAGAGTTATCTCTCACCTAGGTTATCTCAGTAAACTTTCAACTGACCTCCCTATAAATACCTTGACCCTGCTACCATCTTCCTACACAGAACCCAGAGTGGGGCTGGGTTAAAACCCTTCAGTGACTTCCTACCTCACTCCAGTTAAAAGCCAAGATCTTCACAAGTGTCCTCAAGCCCCTACATGAAATAATACTGACCCCCCATCCTAGTTCACCAGGACCTCCCTGTCCAAACATCCTGTAATCCCCCCAGTCCACTCTGCTCTAGCCACACCGGCCTCTTCACTTTGGCTGGAATACACCATGCATGGTCTCACAGTAGAGCCTTAGCATGGCTTCTCCTCTGCCTAGAAACCTGTTCCACATGCCCATTTTGTTCACTCCTTCACCTTCTGAAGGTCTTTATTACCTTCTTATCCTATCGTATTTAAAATTGCAACCCTCTCCTCTCACCCCCTTGCCCCCAAAGAACTCCTATCCCCTTGCCCAGCTTTATTTTTCTCCGTAGTACTTACCACCATCTGCCATATGCTACTTTTGTTTTTTTATTGTTTGTTTTCCATCTCTTCCTCACCCCCCAGAATGCTCCCCATGACAACAGTGATCTTTGTTTGTTTTGTTTTCACCAGTGCATTCCAAGTTCCTAGAATGGAGCCTGGCATATTGTAGGCATTCTGTCAATATTTGTTGAATAAAGGAATGAATAAAGACATACGACATAGATGACAGAATATCCAAATGATGGTACAATGTATAAAACTATTTGGAAATGCATTTCCTGGATCCAAGAATCTGTGTCATCATTCTGATGATATGGAAGAAACACCTATAGTTCTAAGCATCAAATCTCTGAGACCAGTATGTAAGGGTTTTCACAAAATGTCTGGCCCATCTTAATTTGGGCAAAGGGAAAAACTTTGAGCAGATATAGCACCTAGCACTAGAGAAAGAGGTAATCACTTTCTACTGTTAAAAATACACTCTCTAGAAACAAAATCATATTTTAAATATTTGATTTCTTTCCATCAGTGGGGATTTCAAGGAGTAAAGTTAATAGTAGTTTTTATTGCACCATCAAAAATGTTTTCTATGGTTAGTTGGATCAATTCTACTTGAGTATTTACTTTATGCCAGAATGCAATTTAAGCCATCATTTTAAAATAATTGTATGTATGTTTATCAGGACTACTGGAATTCTCTCTAAAGAATAATATCTGAAAAAAAGACATTCTATAAAAAAGACATCTGCATTCAAATGTTTATAGCATCACAATTCACAATTGCAAAAATGTGGAAACAACCCAAGTGCCCATCAATACATGAATGGATTAATAAAATGACATATATGTATACCATGGAGTTCTACTCAGCCACAAAAATAATGGTGAACTAATACCTTTTGTATTAACCTGGTTAGAGCTGGAGACCATTCTTTTAAGTGAAGTATCACAAGAATGGAAAAACAAACTCCACATGTACTCATCATTAACTTAGAACTAATTGATCAACACCTATGTGCACATATGGAAATAACATTCATTGGAAATCAAGCAGGTAGTGGGAGGTGGTGGGCAAGAGGGGATGGGTAAAATCACACCTAAGGGGTACAATGCACACTATTTGAGAGATGGGCACAGTACAAAAGCAATTTATGTAACCAAATCGTTTGTACCTCCATAATACTCTGAAATAAAATAAATAAATAATAATTTAAAAAATAAGAGTAATTACCTGAGAAAATGTTACAAAATTACCTGCTGGGGCAAACTGCTACTAAAAAAGATGATGGAAACATACCACTTCCATGATAGACAAAAAAAAATAAATAAATAAAAAAAAATAAAAAAATAGAAAAAAATAATAAAAAAGATGATGCTTTTCAAAATACATGTGCAGTGTGCACATGCACACACACATACACAAAACTGCTGTCATATTGGTGATGATAATTTTGATGATGGGTTTTTCTTTCCTTCACATCCTTCCTTGTCTCTACTGATTAAGCCTCAAACATTATAAATTCTCTAATTTTTACAGGAGTTTTCAGTTCCTTCATTATAATGTCACCCTCTTTAAACATGCCCCAATTTGCCTTGTTAATGCTTGAAGTGTGGTACTTACAACCAAGCAAAACATTCCAGGTGTTTTACCCTGTGACCAGCCAATGAGCGTAAAACAAACTACCATGTTCATGTTCCTTGTTCTGAAGATTATATATATTTTATTAATACTCCTTAAGAGTATAATAGCTTTGGAGAAAGCTGTATTTCAATGTTGACTTGTTCATTCACTGATTCAGTGAACAGATATTTTTTGAGGTCTTACCATTTGCCAAGCTTTGAGCAATAAGCTGGAGATATAATGAACAAGACTGTCTTTGTCCTCAAGTGACAGAGGGGTGATATATTAATAATCGTGCAAATATAAACTTGGAAACTGTGATAAATGTCATGGAGGAACATATGGAAACATAAGAAATTTGAGAATGTATATTGGGGTAGTTAAAACAATGGCCCTCAAAGTTGTCCATATCCTAATCTCTGAAACCTATGACTATGTTACCTTACATGGCACAAAGTACTTCGCAGGGGTGATTAAACTAAGGATTAGGAGAAGAGGAGATTATCCTGAAATATCCAGGGAGGCCCAATAGAATCACAAGGGTCTTTAAAAGAGGACGGGCAGAAGGATTAGAGCCAGAAAAGGAGATGTGGCAGAAGGAGAGATGGGAGGGGTTTGGAGAAGAGAGAGAGATTTAAGGATGCCACTTTCCTGGCCTTGAAGATGGAGGAAGTGGCCATGAGCCAAGGAATGCAGGCAACCTTTAAAAATCCTCCCCAGAGCCTTCAGAAGAAATGTAGCCCTGGCAATACATTGACTTTAGGATTTCTGACCTCCAGAACTAAAAGATAATAATTTGTGTTGTTTTAAGTCACTAGGTTGGTGTTAATTTAATAAAGCAACAACAGGAAACCAGTACATGGAACCAAAGACCAGATCTAATCCAGGGAAGTTTCTAGAAGCCTCTTCTGAGAGCTGAAAGATGATGAGAAGACCACCAGGGAAATTTGGGGAAAGGAAGAAGCATTCCAGATTAAGGGACTGGTCCATGAGGTTTTAGGATAACTGGTAAGTACAAATAATTAAGAAGTGGGGACAGTAGTTTTAGATGCTGGAGAGATAGGGACAGGAGGTGAGTCATTTCTATATGCCATTCTATAAAATGGAGATAATACTAGTATCTAGCAAGTGTTTTTGTAAAGATTAAATGAAATAATCCATTTAAGTGCCTGGTACATAGTAAGTAACCAAAGAATTTCAGCTGTTATTATTAAAGTTTGAATTTAGACTATTCAAGATTTGATCTTGAACATGGTATGCAAGATAAACTGATTTTCAGAGTGGATAAATGATTTTCTCATGTGAATCTGTAATATATCACTTTTGTTTTATTTATTGCCTATATATGAGTCAGCTATTGCCATGAGGATGCTGTGTAACAAAACACCTCAAAACTTTAGAATACAACAATAAGTATTTATACTCATTCCCAAAGTCCTGAAGGTCTATTAGATTTAGCTGGGCTAGAAAAGGCTTAGCTGGGTAGCTCTTCTTCAGGCTGTGGGTTGACTGAACTTGCCTCTAGGTTGTGGACTGGGTTCAGGTTTCTTCCACATGTATACATTTGGGGGCCCAGATTGAAGAGCAGTAGCTACCTTGCTCATGTTCTTCTTATGAGAGACCACTAGAGCACAAGGACCAAGCCAAACCACAGAAGCACACATAAGGTCAAATCTGCCAATGTACTAGAGGGCAAGTCAAGTTGTATGGCCACACCCAACATCAATGAAGTAGTAAGGTATACCCTGTCCTCAATGAGAGGAAAGGGGACTGAATATTTTCTGATCAATAATTCAAACTGTCACAGATGCTAGTTCATAACAAATTGTAAATTTTCATGTTAAGGAATAATAACCTCAATTAACAACTGATACGCTCTATTTTATCCATGTTTATTAATATTGTATTTAGCAGAAATTTTGAATATGAGGGATTTAAAGTCTATATACATTAATAACAATACATAGTAAATAATCATCTCATATGGGATTGCAAACTTACGTGTTTTTGTATCTTTTCAAATGTATGACAACAGATAAGGTACTTTTCACTGAATTTAAAAATTTAAATGTTATTATTAAGCAATCATAATTTCTTTTTTAGAGATTAGCTCCTGAGGTGCTAAGTTTATGTTCTTAATCATTTCCTTTGATATTGCCAGAAAAATCAAGCCAGAGTTCATTTCTATTTTAATTAAATAAAAAATAAAATATAACATTGGTACTCCAAATACATAAGTGATCTTTTAACATCCTTATAACATTAAGTGGAGTCATATATAATTCCCTACTACCTTGCCTAAGGGTGAAACCTTTAATTACAATAGTATCCAATTTTCTAGAATATTATCTTTAAAGAAACATTGTATTACAAAACACAACAAATATGTACAAAAGTATACAAACATATAGAGACAGGATAACAGTTATAACATGAACACCTATATAACCCCAACCTAGGTCACAAAATAGGGTAGCTAATACTGTCCTATGTATCCCTTCCTGATCAAAACCCCCTTCATCACTGCCACAGGTACTCACACTTGTGTATTTCAAGGTAACTGCTTTCTGGAGTTTTCTTTATAGGTATGTATGTATCAATCTCTAAATCCACTATGTATCAATCTCTAAACAATAAAATTTAGTAATGCTTCTTTTGAACTTTTTATAAATAGAATGACATAGCATGCATTCCTCTAGGTTTTGTTTTTCCACAAAATATTATATTTTTAAGTTTCATCAATGTTCTTGTTTACAATTGTAGTTAATTCATTTTCATGACAGTAAAATATGACATTGGTTGACTATACCATGATTTGTTTACCTTTCCTACTATTGGTAAGCATTCAGTATATTTTCAGTCTGGGCTATAACAAATAGTGCTGCTCTGAGCATTCTTGTATATCTCTCCTATGTTCATATTTCCTCCAGTATATAGCAACATTACTCTTTCAGGTAGTTAGCTTGTGATCACTTTTCCATTCTAGAACTTGCAAAAAATTACTCTGCCTCCATCAAATACGAAGCAAAAATCTAAATTTCACTTATTTCACAAATTTACATCAAGTGTTTATTATGAGGCCTCATGGCATCATATTAGGTTGAAGAGATTATAGTAATGAATACAACATCAATCCAGCCATCAAAGTGGTTACAGAGTAGTAAGGGAGAAATATTAATAATTATAATAAAATTTGGAAATAACTAAGTTTAATAGAGAGGTACATATAAAATACAATAGAAGTCCAAAAGAAGGAATGACTCCTTTATAGTGGGAGGAATGAAAGAAGGCCTTGGAGAGGACATCAAATTTGAAGTTTGGCAGGAATTTAATTTGAATAGATGGGTAAAAGGAGATTCCATGGCAAAGAGGTTAGTAAAAAGATAGAGGTAAGGCAGCCAGGGACTTGTATAGGAAACCTATAATATAATAATTCAAGTTGTCCAGTGCATAAGAGAATTAAGAATTGTTTTTTTTTTCATTCGTTATTCAATATAAGGAACACAGAGTGTGAAGAGGCTTTTAAGAGACAGTGAGAGAAAGGTACATTGGGCCAAGATTTGAAAGACTTTAAATGCAGAGACATTCCTTCCCAGCTATGTGAACCCCTTGAGGTTAGGGACTATGTCTTCTTCAACTCTGTAGCAGACATAACATAGTATCTGATATGTAGTAGACACTCAAAACATTTGCTGAATTGATTTGAGTGCAGATTTTATTTTGTAGCTAACAGAAGCCACTGAAAACTTGCAGGTGCAGGGGTGGGGTGCAGTCAGGTAAATTAGAATACAACCTAGTTAGTGTTAGTAAGAAAAGGATGTATCAAGTGCTTCTACAGCAGATGCCTGATGTCCTGGAGGACTGAATTCTACCTGTACATTCCGAAAGCCTTTCCAGATGAAGAGGGTAAAAACAATTACATTCTGAAGGTAGAGTAAGAGAGAAAAGTGTTTCCTAAACATACTTGGTAAGAGTCGATGTGAGGGTCCTTTGTTAAATATAGCTTCTCAGGATCATCCCAAATCTTCTAAATCAGACCCGGGGAATGGTATGGGCAGTTGTATTAACAAGCAATCCACCTGGTTCTTATTTTCAATAACATTTGAGAAACCCTGGTATAGAAAACATCCTATGGAAAGGGAAAGACATGTGCAAAAGTAAGGACATGTTAAAGAACCAGAAGATATATTCAGGAAATGATTGGAGAGTAGGGAGTTTGTGGGAAAATGGTTATTGCTGAGGCTGGTGAGAGGGATTGAGGCCCAATTGTGAAAAGCTTTATTGAGCAAGCTAAGGAACCTTGTGAAAAATGGGGAAAACACTTAGGCCAAAAAGTGAGTTTTCGGGGGGGAGAGATAACCAGAGAAATTCAAGAATACAATTTCTCAGGTAAAATTGATAGTTTAATGGCTACTTCCATGAGAGAAGAAGTAGAGAATGAATACAAGGTTGATTAGATGAATGAAACAAGTCTGCAGCAGGCTGCCTGTGCTGGAGGGTTGGTGGGGGCTGATATGGTAGGAAAGCATTTCCTTTTGGACTTAAGTTTTACATGACAAATGACACCATGTGGATACATCTCTGGATAGTTTGAAATAGAGACCTCATGTTTGGGAGAATGTCCTCAGGGCTAAGAATATGAGTATAGGAGGCTTTGATGTTGAAGCCATAGGAATTTTACTTGTATGAGGATCTAAACTGATAAATGGACCAATGACAAAATCATGAGGAAATGGACACATTTAAGTAGCACATAGAGGAGAAATCAGCAAGAGATAACTAGAGATGGGGAAGCTAGCAGTAGCAATCTTGGCTACTCTAATCATCTGATGCTCCATGAGGTCTCCAAGAACTGAAAAAATAAAAACAATTCCATTATGATTGAACTGATAAAATATAGATTTGCCACCTATCTATTAACAGAACATCCAGTAAAAGTATAGAAAACCTGCTATTGATTGACCTGCTCAGCTAAAATAAACATACAAAATCCAGATAGGCCATTGATCCTTAGATTCAAGAATACCAGAAGTCTTTAGTACACAGATTTTTGTCCTGGCTCTTCATCTGGGATAATCATTTAAATTCTATCTTTAAAAAAAGATGTAAGTTCTCATCTTAGAAAAGCTAAGGAGGCTAGAATACCTAGATGACATCTTAGGTAGGTTGCTTCCAGTTCAAAATCTAAGTTTCTCCAGAGAACCATGCAATTCTGAGATGGAAATCTTAAATAGATTTACTCAAGAGCAAATCCTGAAGTAATAATTCCTGTTTCCCAGTCCCATCCTTCCCCCTTCTTCAGTAAATATTGATTTAAGAATCCCTAAAGTTATATAAAAGGCATTGGATACTTTTCTAGTTCCTGTCAAGAGTACAGCTGATTGTCACTCATCCATTCCAAAACTGGTGTCTGGCTTCACATCAGAGGAATGGCATCCATTGGTACCCCGCCTAGAAAATCCTCTCCTTCAGTACCTTAGAAGTGGCTCACCAAGCACGTGATACATCCCAGTGTAATCCCCACAAAGCTTTCTTCAGACAGTTGTGTTATATGAGTCTGGCTCTCTAACTGGAGAACCCTATGTGGTTCAGCACACACTGGAGACCTCAAGAATTCGATTTCTTTCTTCCTACCAAAAAAAAAAAAAACAAAGACAAGAAAAAGAAAACAAAACCTTTACTTTTTAAAAAGCCTAATGACTCCCTTGCGATGGGGCACTTAAACTATATAATCAAGTAACACTGGTTTGGGATGAATCAGGAATTGAATAACCAATGTTCGTCTCTTTCACTTCATTCTTGTAACACTTTGTGCCAGGCACTGTGCTGGTTCCTGGGGTTATATTAATTAAGAAACAAAAAACAAAAAAAACAATCCTTGTGAGGGCGTCGCGGACTTTCCTGGCAAGAAAGGACCGCGGCATCCAATCTTCCAGAAAGGTAGTTGGGTATTTCTTTAAGGATGAGGCGAGAGGCCTTCCGCTGGGGTACAAACACTCAGATAGACTCCCTTCCTTTGGGCCGGGAAGCCAGCTCCTACATCGCTTCTACAGCCTTTAGGACCCCGCGCACACCCAGCTTCCGGTCTCTTTCCCAACCTGGAGGCTCCGCCCCTGGGTCCGCCACGCTCCCAGCAGGCTCTGCGCGCGCGCCATTGCCCCGCCCCCTCCGCCTCCGTCCCGCCCCTTACGACGTCGCAGAGATGGCGGAGCTGGACATCGGGCAACACTGCCAGGTGGAGCATTGTCGACAGCGAGGTGATCGGGGAGTCCCCATGCCCGGCCGCGGGAGACCCGGGCCCCCGCTTTGACTCAGCGGATGGTGGCGGCGGGTGAGGGGTCTGAGGAGCAGGGGGGCGGGCGCATTTCTTCTGAGTCTGCAGAGAGATGTGTTGGTGCTTTTTCTGTTGCTCCCAGAGACTTTGAAGAAACTTGTGGTGAAAATGTTCGCTTTGATTTTCGAGGGTGCGGTGCGGTAGAAGTGCACGGAGCACACCGCTGGATCACGTGGAGCACACTCCTTTCTGAATAGCGCGGGGAGGGAGGACGCTTAGGTCTGGGAGAGTTCCCCTCTGGCTTTGCCACTGCTACTTTGGGAAAGCCACTTCCCCAAACTTTTTGTTTCCCTGTTTGTTTCTTATCTGTGAGACGAAAGAGTTGGGCGAGATCCGTTTTTAACCTGGTGTTCATGGGCTTCTCAGTAAGTAGATGAGCGTCTGTGAGAAGGCCCTTTAGCTCTCATCACATTCTCAAAGGGATCCTGATCCTCAGTCTGTTCCATCAGATGATCGCTATGCTCTCCCAGCTCGGTCATTCTGTGATTCTGATTATCAGTGTTTGAGTAAATGAGTAAACATTTACATATCATTGATTTTGGTGCTGGAACCACATAAGGGTATAAGCTACAGTGTTTTACACAGAAGACCTTTCAGACTAGTTAGCAAGATACATTTTAGAGAGCATCAATAATAATAGGTGATGGTCTCTTTCCTTCAAACTGAGAGAACTTGAAATAAACATAGCCTGAAGTAATGTTGTCATGTGGCACAGGCTTCGGGATGACATACACCTAGAACAGGCAAGGTTTTGAAGCATCAGACCCACACAGACTGCTCAGTCTTTGGTACCTGGGTTTCGTGCCAAATGTGTGCCATCACATTTGGCACATACTACATAAGGTAGCAAACAGATTTCATCTTCCACTGCAGCGTCTGTCATTAGTAGTAAGTGTCTGAATCCCTGCGTTGAGAAGGACTCTGAGGTTTAACTCAGTTTCAGTGGAGTGCCATATTGATTAGTGATGTCTGCTGTGGGCAAGGACAGGCAACAATCCATGCTAGGTTCTTGTTTCTTGTAGCATTCTGTATATGTGTCTTTCACCACTGGCTGATCACCAGCTACTCAGAGCATAAGAACCTGTTTGTGTGCAGTCCTTTCCTGTGGAAGCTTAGTTGTTTGGGTTTTGATTATAAGTTATGTGTATCTGGTATGCCTGATTGATTCCCCCTAGTGAATCCAGCACACCTGTACTATCTGTGACATAGTTCATCATCCTTTCCAACTTCATGTACCTTTAGTGTCAATAACTGAGATGAGGCAAGGGCCTATCTCTTTCGGACTAGTGGAAAAGAGTTAAGATTTAGAGTACATTATGTGGGTATCTTAAATTTCATCTAGCTTCTGGACAGATAGAAGTATGGTATCAGATGCTGGGAAATTATCTTGATCTTAACTTTTCCCCCGGGCCCTCCTGGTTTGTATCCAATACTTAACTTGGTTACCAAAAGTCTCAAAACAGCAAAGATGTATATTTTTTCCATATTAAAAAAAGACAAAAAATTTGTAGAATACAGTATTGTATGCTTCAGTTTCTTTTCTCTTGTTAACAAATATATCCATAATTTCTTGGTATGAAAGAAGCTCACAGTATTATGCTTTAGTAATAACAGGGACAGTTCATTAAGCCACTTCTCAGGTAAGGAAAGAACTAGTCTAGCCTTCTCGTTCCACAGGTATAATTATCCAGAGGTCCCTTTTGGTTACAATAGGACCTCCTCTTTCTGTTTGGGTTAAGATACTTGTGAAATGAGATCTTTGTGAGGCAGTTGTAGATTTCTCTAAAGTAGGACTGAACAGTACTCCCTGCTTTTCATTTTGTAAAAGTGGTGTAATTGGATATTTCCAGCTTCTCCTGGCTATGTACTGTAATTTAAAATGAGGTGTATTGAAAACGTCTTAGAGAATGATTGATTATATCTAATGAGCAATAGTTAGTTGCCACATCTAAGAATAGATACTTTTATGTGCTTGTCAAACGTTCAGTTCCTAACTTAGGTGTTACTTAGTTACTTGGTCCTAACTCAGATATTCCTCAACAGCAAGGAAAAAAAATCAGCAATTAATTTTGAAATATCAATCCATTTATTTAATTTCTGGAATCTCTTTGAAAACATCTCCACTCAGTCACTACAGTATTTGTCTGAGTTGAGCATACTCAAAAGAAGTTAATTGTTGTATTATTTTTATTAATTATTGTTACTATCTTACTATTCTGATCTTTTATATATATCTCACTTGGTTTTTACAATTACCCTATCAGGTAGGTATGTGGCATACAGCATAGATACAGATATAGGTCTATTCACACATGCATTCCAACATATATACACAGAAACTGTATGCTTATATCTATCTCAGTCACTCCATATATATATTTATCTCTCTATCTACCTGTCTATAGCTTTCTATTTTTATTACCTAATAATAGAGTTTTGTTTTTTTATATTTATATACATATATAAAGACATACACTATATACTATACTATATACTATATCAAATATATATATATCCCCGAAGATTTGCCATTAAGTAATTTGCCTAGCATTGCTAGATTAATAAACAGTGGAATCAGAATTGAAACCCAGGTTTTTACTCCAAATGCAGAATTTTTGCAGTATATAGATGTCAAAAGCAACACTTAGTAAATCTGGGAAACAAAACAAAAAAGGGGAGGAAAAATGCCAGAACTTCTTTTTTTTCTGAGTTAGCAAAGCAAATACAAGTAATACCTATTCTATATCCTGGTAATCTAATTATTTTCAGCGTTATTGAGGTGGTGGTGACTTTGTTTAACAATGGTTATGTAGTGACTTGCTATGCTAGGATATTAGTCAAAAAGGGAAGTTCTCCTGTAGAGGTGGTCCAATACTTTAAGATTATTTTGCTTAAAAAAAAACTAAATCAAAATCAGATACTGACTGGTACATACATTTTTCCTCAATTTTAGATTTTCTTCCATTTATTTGCGATGGTTGTTCAGGAATATTTTGGTAAGTTAAGGTTTTATACAGGATTTGGGCATAATTTTGGTGTTTGTAATATGGGGGTTTATTTCTAAAACTAAAATGATTTTAAATAGTTGTTACTTTGTCTATTGATATTGATATTCAGTATAGCAATTACTTGGGGAAAAAAAACAGATTAGTCATAGGCTCTGATAACTTAATTCACATAAGTGACTAATCTTTAAGCTTCCAGAAATGGGGTTATGCGTGCAAATTTATGTAAAAGTTCTATTTTTAATTATAAGGAGAAAATAATATCCACAATATAAAGAATATGATTTTTTTAAAGCCCAGTTATGGAATAAAAGAAATTCAAAGATTTGTTTGTATTTTCATAAAGTATATTAGCATGGTGAATTGCTTTTACTCATATTGAAATTGAACATTTGTTTTAAAACTTTTGAGACTATTTGCTCCATCTTTAATTTATCTGACATTTCAGTTTTTTCATCTATGCAAAGTTATTAATATATTGTGAGTATAATGTATCTTAAGAATACTAAACATTAAAATATCTCATAATACTATAGTTATCTTTAAGTATGTTATTTGCATGTAAATGAATGCTATTTTTTTAAATTATTTAAGCCTTGAACACAGAAGCAGGGAGTCTCATGGTTGTTCTGAGGTATGTTAATATTTTTCAATTTGATAAAACATATTTGTATTCATGTACTTTCATACAGAATTTGATTATATTGAAAGCCAGTCAGTGCACCAGAGTTTAAAGTTTGGCATACTAAACTGTTTATATAAAGGAGCTGTTGCTTCATTTATATTATTTTTCACTATCTTAAAGAAAAATTTATCTACTTGGTATTTAAATTTTTTATACTCATAATTCTTATTCCTTAACATTTCTATTTAGGCAGCCCATTTACAGCAGGCTATATATTTATGACTATACATTGGAATTAATGTCCTCACCATATACTCCCTCCAGTTGACTGTTTCCTTCACCGTTGTATTCATTTTCACTGGTGCCTGAATGTAGGATCTGTGGTAGTAAATCATTCTGGTTCAGTTAGCATTAGACCACCAGGAACAAACCTGTAGTCTAATGAAATTCCCACCCTAATTCTGAACAAATCATAGATTAAGAATGGCCTGGCACATAGAAGCCAAAATACCACCCTATTATGATAAAGAATAAGTTGAATGATGAGGCTTAGTGTAGAACCGATTAGGTCCGCAAAGGAAATTCAGGTTTGGGCAGACTTGCCCACCAGTCACAGCAGTACTGACCAGGTTTGATTTTCTGCCTGAAGGCAATTCAGTTCCAAGAGAAAAAAGAATGTGGAGCACCCCATGCCTAATGCAATTTTCTTAAATTTGACAACCAAATATGTTGTTCCATCTGTCCTGGGGCAGAGAGAGGCAGGGAGTTAAGCTGAATTCACTCCAATGGGAAAGAAGCATTTGCTTCTAAAACTTTTAAGTGGATATTTATTCCTGCCCACCATTTACCACGCACTCTGACAAGGATTTTCACATCTGTTTTCTCATTTATTGAAAATTAAGGTTACATGAGCTTCAGTTGAAATCTGACCCTTTCAAGTGTAAGTTATCAGTCAAAAGCTGACCCTTTGAAGTTTATATGATCTATTTGAGGAAAATCAAAATTACCTAATATGTTGGTTTATGCCGGATTAATTAGAAGAAAATACTCAGAGTTGTATAGTAAAACTTACTGATGTTTCTTATAGTTTATAAATCTGTCCTGTGCTTTCTTTTTTCTTATGGTATCATTTGATTTCTATGAATGTCTCTTAGATTTTACCTATCATTAATAAAATACTAAAATACCATTAGGCCATTGCAACAAATTTGGAAGGATACTTAAGTTAATACTAACAATATGTAACTATCATTTATATAAAAGAATGCCTTTTAAGTAGAGTTTTCAAGCAATTATTTCTCTAAGTTTATTCAGCTGGTTACTTAATGCTCAGAATAGCCTGGCTGATCTAAATTTTTTTAATCCTATAAAATCTTCTCTTCCTGGGATGGAATATTTCCTGGTAATGAAATATGAAACAGAGCATAGAGAAAGATATGTGATTATGAAAACTATCTTTAACCCTTTATCTCATGGATAAATATATAATTTTTTAGTGTTTTATTCCCTGAGTTAATGTTTAATCTCCTAAAATCAGTATAGAAGATAGATGTGACTTGCCATTTGAGGGTTGATGTAGGCCAGGCATGGTGAGTCATGCCAGTAATCCTAGCATTCTGCTAGGTTGAAGCAGGAGGATTGCTTGAGGTCAGGAGTTCGAGACCAGTCTGAGCAAAGAGGGAGATCCCCCATCTCTACTAAAAATTGAAAAAAATTAGCCAGGCAATTAAAAAAAATTTTTTTTTAATTAGCCGGGTGTGGTGGTGCATGCCAGCTACTAGGGAGGCTGAGGCAGGAGGATCACTGGAGCATATTAATATGGGGGCATCATTGTGTGGGACTCCTTACAAAGTAGATTAAAATTGCAGAGAGTAACTGAATAGTCATTTTGCTTTACTTACATGATAAATATACCACAGTAGGAAAAATATGAAAATGTAGAACAGCACAGTAATCATTTTCACATAAGCATTCATTATAATCTTTATGTGAGAGTATGTAACTTGCTCTAATAAGTTTAAGCAAAAATGATATGGATTCTGTCTTCTAACATAGACTCATTGATTTGCTTTAAATGTGAAATATAATGCCATTTCCCCCCTTTTACATTTTCAGGTGACTATAATCAATGAAAGACTAAAGACAGATGAACATAAATCTTACCGATGCTCATTTAAGGACTGTGCTGAAAGAGAACTTGTGGCAGTTATATGTCCTTATTGTGAGAAAAACTTCTGCCTAAGGTGATCCTTTAAACCATTCATGCTTTGGGTCTCTGTTTAGTTACATACAAATGCGTGAACTAGTGTCACTCTTCTCTTGCTAATAGACACCGTCATCAATCAGATCATGAGTGTGAAAAACTGGAAATCCCAAAGCCTCGAATGGCTGCCACTCAGAAACTTGTTAAAGACATTATTGGTAAGTATTTTAAAAGCTTGTTTTGTTGCTCTCCTTGTTGCTATATACTCTTAGTTCCAGAGCTCCTGCTTCTTATGTCTTCTTACCGGGTAACAGCCTTGATGGTCATAACTTGCATTTTGATAACATTCTTGTGATGTTATTTCTCACAAGGTCTGCCTGACCAGTGAAAATTTGGAAATTGTTTGGAAGTACCCCCACCAGAGTCTCTTTGGTTGGGTCACTTAGATCAACTAGTTAACCATTGTGGCTAGAAAATGGTATTCATGAGATTGAAGTATCCAATTGCTTTCTCTAATGATTAAACGCTAGTCAACTTTCCTGTTGATAATATGAGATACTAGGAAAGAATGTATCTGTGACTTAGATCAATCTCTTGGCCAATATATTAGTTCATAATTTTCATCCTTTATTTCATCCTTTATTAAGGACAGTTCCTTTATTGAAATCCTCCATAACCAAATCTTAAGGTTCTCTGCAGAAGCATTAGTGGCTGCTTTAGTTTAAACAGGCTTGAGTTGGGAAGAAGCATGTAACAGTGAATTTTTTGATGTGGAGAGTGCTTAGATCAACCTCAGTGATATTTTCCATTGGTCATATAAATACAATACCTATACATTGAATATGATCTCTATATTTCTATTGTGTGTAATTTATGTACATTTCAGGGCCATAGTTAATAAATGCTTTATAATAAAACTCTGAAAAATGCAATATAAAAGTTCTCACGTGCTTCCATGCTTGCACTTAATCTCTTAGATTCCAAGACAGGAGAGACGACAAGTAAACGACGGAAAGGAGCCAAAAATAGTGAAACAGCTGCAAAGGTTGCATTGATGAAATTAAAGATGCATGCTGATGGGGATAAGTCATTGCCTCAGGTTGGTCTTAGAGATTTTTAAAAACAAGAAAATTCCAAATATAGTTGAAGTCCTCTTTTTTTTTCTCCCTCCCATCAAGTAACTAACCTGAACATGATATGTATCATTCCTACTATTACATGGTATATGTCTACAAAAATAATACGTAGTTTTGTGTGTTTTTTCTCTTTATGGAAACAGCAGAGGCCAGGAGCTCTGCTGCTCACACTTGTCATCCTAGCACTTTGAGAAACTGGGGCAGGAGGATCTACTTTAGACCAGGAGTTCAAGACCAGCCTAGGCAACATAATGAGACCCTGTCTCTACACAGAAAAAAAAAATTAAAAAAAAAAAAAGGAACCACATGTACCCTTCTTCAACTTGTTTTTTTTTCCCCCCATTTGGCATCATGTTTTTAACATTTATCCATGCTGAGACATTCAGTCTAATTTATTCATTTTGACAGTTGTACATTATTCTATGCAGGGGTCCTCAAACGTTTTAAACGGGGCCAGTTCACTGTCCCTCAGACCATTGGAGAGTGCACACTGTGGGCCCTGGACGAGTTGGCTGCTAAGCAGGACAGGCAGCTGGCAAAAACACCTGGCACACCCAGCGGGCCGGATAAATGTGCTAGGTGGCCCGCATGTGGTTCGTGGGCCGTAGTTTGAGGACACCTGTTCTATAGTATAAATATATCTGTGTTTATTGTGTTTATTCTCTTAATAAGCAAAATTCATTTTTTTCCTATTTTTTGCTAGCATAAACTGTTCTACAATGAACATCCTTGTGTATGTATAGAAGAGTTTCTCTAGGACTGTACCTTTAAAACTTCACAATATCAATTATTTTCTCTCACAGCCCAGTATATGTGTATATACATGCATATCTTAACACAGTTTCATTAAGTGATAGCCTTGATGTGTCTTATATGCTTTTATGTTTTTTATTTTTTTATTTTATTTTATTTTAAAGGATGTTGGTCAGAACCTACCAGATTGATTTTCCAACCCCTGATGGATTAAAAACACCAGATTAAAAGATGCTACTATAGGGAATATACCTAGAAATAGAAAAACTGGGTTATAGGATTTGCTTATCTTCAGCTTTACTAGATATTGTCAACTTATTATTGACAGGGTTGCACTGATTGGTCTCTTTCAGTGCTTTCAACTGTATATGTTCTTGGCCATTTATCGTTTCATAAAAATTTTAGGATCACTTTATCCTGTTCTGCAAAATTGTCATTTTGATAGGGATTGTGCCAAACTTTATATTAGAGGTAGTAGACATCTTTAGAATTTTGACTCTTCCCATCAATGTCTGTGATTTGTCTTTCCAACTTTTCTTGAGGTCTTCTTTTATATGTAATTATAGAAGTAACATTCTATAATGCTTATTAGAAATATCTATGTCTTTTCTTAGATTTATTCTTAGACTCTATATATAATATTTGCTGTCATTATAAATAATATCTTTTTTAAAAACTAAATTTCCCTAATTGGTTATTGCTGGTTGGTGCATGTTACCTTTCTGTCCAGCAAATAAGTTACTAATAGTTCCCATTCTTTGTAGGTTTTCTGGGATGTTTTCTGTGCTGTCATGTCTTCAGCAAATGCCAGTTTTTGTGAGGGGTTTCCCCCCAATTTTCTCTTACCTCTTTTTTTCATTATCATTATTTGTCTTACTGCTGAGATCTTCAGAATAATGTCGAATAATATGGGTAATAGCAGGCATCCTCATCATGTTTCTGATTTTAATGAAAATGCTTCCAAAGTTTCATTAGGTATTATATTTGCAGTAGATTTTTGATAGTAGCCTTTACAGAATAGCAGTATTCCTTTCTATTCCTAATTTGCTGAGAATTGATGCCATGAATGGGTATTAAACTTTCCTGTAAGTTTTTTTCTTATATCTAGTAAATCTTTGTCTTTTCCCTATCAATGTGATAAATTGTATTGATTAATTTTTCTGTTAAGTCACCAAATATTCCAGGATAAACCACTTGACTGGTATATAATTCTTCTAAAATGTACTAGTAAATTGATTTGCTAATATATTATTTAGTGTTTTTAAATGATATTACTAGGAAGATTATACTCAAATGTAATGGCTTTTTTCCCATTCTTTGAGATAGTTGTCAAGGGAGGGGATTATTTGTTGTTGAAGGTTTGGTAACACTGTCTTATGACCTTTACATCTGTTTTCTTTTCTTTTTTGAGGGGAGAATTTTGAATATTATTCCAATGTGTTAAATCTTAGTTTATCTGGGTAATATATTTCTTCTGAAGTCAATTTGGAAAATAGTATTTTTCTAAAAAATTCCTATTTGATATAGGTTTTTCAATTTATTGTTATAAAACTGTCCAAGTTTTTCTCTTATGATTCAAAATCTCTATTATGTCTTTAGTCATTTCACTTCATTCTTAATATTTTTCATTTATACTTTTCTTTCTTTCCTCCTTAAACAGTAGCTAAAGGCTTATCTTTATTTTTTCTTAGTCTTTTCAAAGAACCATGTTTTGGTTTTATTGAACTCTATTTCCTTGCTGTTTCACTGATTTCTGCTCTTATATTATCTCAAACACACACATGTTGCAACCATAGTGCAAAGAACTTTTCCATATATTTTACCCTAATGTACCAATTATTTGCATTTTGCCCTGTTTGCTTTATCATTTGTATTATCTTTCTGGCCATATATATGCATATATGTATGTGTGTGCACTGTGTGTATGTACACTACTAATTTTTTGTCTACTTGATATATCGGTCTCGCAGATCTGTTAAAATCTCCCATTATGGGCCAGGCACAGTGGCTCCCGTCTGTCATCCTAGCACTTTGGGAGGCTAAGACAGGAAGATCGCTTGGGGTCAGGAATTCCTGACCAGCCTGAGCAAGAGCAACACCCCATCTCTACAAAAAATAGGAAAATTAACCAGGTATGGTAGCATGCGCCTGTAGTCCCACCTACTCAGGTGGCTGGGGCAGGAGAATCACTTGAGCCCAGGAGTTTGAGGTTCCAGTGAGCTATGATGGTGCCACTACACTTTAGCTGGGATGACTGAGTGAGGCTCTGTCTCCACAAAAAAAAAAAAGAAAGAAAGAAAAAACTCACACCATGGATATGGTTTTATTAGCTGCTTTTTTTTTGGTAATTATAATGATTTTTGCTGAGTTGTATATTATCAGGTGCATAGAATTTCTTCATTGTTATATCTTCTTTACAAATTTTGCTTTTAATCCTATTTTGAATTATATTATTTTGCCACCTTTCTTCTGATAAATATTTAACTATTACATCTTTTTTTCATCCCTTTTATTGAACTTTTCTGTGTGTTTTGTTTTAGGGTATCTCTTGTAAGCCACATATAGCTGGACTTTGTTTTTTTAATCCAGTGTGATAGTATCTCTCTTTTATAGGTGAGTTGAATCCTTTTATATTTATTGTGATCACTGGTGCATTTGAACCTATTTCTTCCATACTATGTTTTCTGCTCATCACTTTTTCTCCATTTTCTTTCTCTTTCCTGTCATCTTTTGTATTGCTTCAATTTATTTTGCTGTTTTACAAACCATTGATAGTTTTTTTATTTTGATGATTATCCTTAATATTTTTATTGTTTCAAGTTTATTTAAAATAACAAATGTGGTACATGCTTTTAACAAGTATAACCATTAAGAGATGTATATAGGAAAAAAACAAACACATTCTCCTGTGTCCTTCATCCATTTCCATCCCCCTAAAGCAGTGGTTCTCAGTTGAAGGTGATTTTGTTCCTTACGAGACATTTTGCAATGTCTGGAGACATTTTTGGTTGTCATAGTTGGGAATGGGGTACTATTGGTATCTAATGGGTAGAGGTCAGAGATGCTGTTAAACAGTGTACAATGTACAGGACATGGCCAGCAACAGGGAATTTTCTGGTCCAAAATGTTAACATGACAAAGTTGAGAGGACCTGCTCTGAAGTACCCAATAATATTATTCACATTATTTTGTAATTTTTTTGTTACTTATAATGTAGTGATAAAAACTTCTATAATACTTACTTTGTTCCAGGCACTCTTCTAACATGTTTCATCCTTCAGCAAGCTTATAAAGTATGCACTCTTTAAACTCTTGCCCCAAAAGGCAAAGTAGCTTGCTAGTAACATAGCCACTGAGTGGAGAACTGTGAATTGAAACCAGGCAGTCAGGCTTCAGAGACAGTGTTCTTCACGCATGTCATAATACATCATAGAGTACTCCACAAGTTTTTAGACCTAAGTTTTTTCCCCTTACCATAAATGTTTGTGTGTGTGTGTTTGGAGATATAGATATACAGATATATATGTGTCTATGTGTATTTATTCATACATGCTTTCATAAATAATATATATAATCACATGTACACATATATTTGCATATATACATACATGTATATGTGTATGTGTGTGTACATGTGTATAACTTTAAATAAATGGATATGTATTCTTCTTGTATTAATATGTGTATGAAAGGCATAAGGAGTGTCTTTCAGTGATCATTTTGTAAAAATTTCATCATTCATTTAGTCCACACATGTTTTTTTGAATACTTTTTATATACCAGGCCCTGGGGATACAGCAATGAATGAAACAGAGTCCCTGCCCTTAAAGAGTTTATATTCCATTGGGGTGAGACATGTAAAATATATAACATGTCACATAGTGATTAGGGCTAGAAATGAAAATAAAGAAGGTTTTGGGTGGATTATATATCCTTTTCTATATAGATCCTCTTCTAAATATATGCTCCTCCCATCAATGCCTGGTAGAAATTCCCTCAATGAGCAGACGGTTCTAAGTCGTTTTCTTTAAAAGCTGGATCATATTCTGTGTGATCCTGTGACAGGTGTCCTGTGACAGACATTATTTTGACATTTTCCTAATGATGAGCATTTGTTTTATTTCCAGTTTTGGCTACAGTGCTAAGTAGCTTCAGTCTGATACTTTTATTGCTGTGGGATAAATTCCCAAGAATGTGTTTGATGTGTCAA